AGTACAAAATTTGTTACTGGTACATTTATTTTTAGTTGAATAAGCACAATTTAATTACATTACTTTATAAAAGATATAAATAAAATAATACTTTTTTTTAGTGTTTTGTGAATAGTGTCACCCCAAATATGGTGTGACACTATTCACAAAACACTAAAAAAAAAATTTGGTGTTGATTATGGCGTTTCATTGGAGTATATCCCACGCCAAATATGGTGTTTTGCAGTCCGTTTGGAGTTGCCCTTACTCGTAACTCGCAACTAAAGATTCAGCCTTAAAATAGAAGCATCTTATATAAATGAGAGTACAGTACTATTTATTTTATGGGAAATCTATAGACCAGTAATTCTGTTTCTGCAGTATAATTATTTAAGCGGTTTCCAAGTTTGAAATTCAACTTTGAGTCAAAATGCTGTCAGTAAAATTACATGCGGGCTATGAGAAATAATACTATATAATTACACTCATACAAACGTAAATAAAGAGTGACGTTTTCAAATTATTTTAGAAAAATGTTTTTTTTTTGAAACACAAAAAAAAAGTTTTGGCATTCTATTGCGAAACTCTAGAGTAATAATATTGGCTCTACTATGTATTTCTTTTAAATAAATACATTATATATAGTAAATTATATTGCGTTTTTTACTACAAGATACTCCATTCGTTTCAAAATGTAAGATGTTTTGGCTAAAAGTATGGAATTTAAAAAAACTACTTTTCTTTAAAAAAAAAAAATTTAATATGTATGATAAAAATTATTTAACCAATCATAAAAGAGAATGCAAAATACTAGTGGTCAGATAATATTTAATAAAGTTAAAAATATATATAGGATTGTCAAAATATTTTATATTTTGAAACAAAAAAATCTCTAAAATATTTTATATTTTAAAACGGAGGAAGTATTTGATTGACATAAAATCATTTTCTACTTCGGATGCTTTAAATAAAAGTTTAGGAATATATCAAATATTTTAACACATCTTTAAATTTGTATGAACGTGAATAATCTATCTTGGATAATTGATCATAGGTTACACAGACTATAGTCTAGTGACTTCTCTGAAAATAGTTGTAATTTTCGGTCAAATAGTCTATTTATTATTCTATAATATAATCGGGTGCTACGATGAACTGAATATATGTTTCTAAGAGAAAAATTAGGTAATGATCAATGTTCAAAATATGGTGGTAAAAGGTTAAAAATAGAAAAAACTATTGAAAAAAGAAGATAATTACATTTTATCAGATACGTACTTATACTGGATACATAAATTTGGAATTAAATTATTATTATTATTGCTATATGTTAAGCTTTGCTTGGAATATTTTGATGCCAAGGCAGACCAATACAGCAAGAAACCATGTGATCAGTGGCGTATATAATTATATAAATATAAGAAAACGAAAGGATAAGGATATATAATTATATATAAATCCCAAATGTTATCTTCTGTAGATGATGATCGATAAGGACACATGGGTTCTTCAACATTTCTTTCGTGCGACGAAACATGTATGCATCGGATGTGTTCCTGTCGTAACCAAAAATAGTTTTATTTCTGTAATCCTTTAAATTATTTCTATGATTGAGATTAAGTAGTTTTAAAATCT